GGGGAAAAAGAGGGAGATGGGGGTGGTGGTGGTGGTGTTGATGGATTCAGAGTGCAAAATGAAACCTATAAACTTTGGGTATGGCCAAGGTGGGAAGTCATTTTGCTAGGCTATCAATATTTGCTACAAAGGTTATTTTTCTTTTAATTTGGAGTAGGGGTGGGAGGGAGAAAAAGATAAATTCTTACTAATTGTAAATTTTTAAAAATGCTATATAAAACCAGACAAATATTTTTAAAATATTTTCTAGAATAACATAGCTACCTATCCATAGGGAAATGTCTAAGCAACACACGGAGTGGTAATGTGATAGAATATCATATTCCTTAAAAAAGGAATCAGGAAGACCTGAGTTCAAATCAGACCTCAGACATGAGCTTTGTGACCTTAGGTAAGTTGCTTAACCTCTGTTTGCCTAGGAGGCAGCTGGGTGGTTCGGTTGATAGAGCATTGGGCCTGGAGTCAAGAAGACCTGAGTATAAATTTGTCTTCAGACACTTAATAGCTGTGTGACCCTGGGCAAGTCACTTATCCTCTGGCAAACCACTCCAGTACCTTTGCCAAGAAAACCCCATGGACAGTATGATCCATAGGGTCACACAGAAGTGTATATAACTGAACAACAATAGAAAGGACAAATGTGAAGAATTCAGGAAAGCAAAAGAAGACTTTTATGAATTGATGCAGAATGAAGTAAAAAGGAGGAAAGCAATATACACAACAACTATAACAATGTAAGTGGAAAGAACAATAACATATCATAAACTTAAATATTGGAACTTAAATACAAGGCAAGAAAAGAAAAAAAAAACGAGTGTGTCGTGTGCATAGCAGAACATAAGAGAGGATTCAAAATATGTAACAATAAATTTTCATTTCAAGTAAACCTGTATGACAAATACTGCACATTGTGTTGAGAGCTGTCCATCTTTTCTTTGCTTCTTTGTAAGTTTTCCTTTGTTCTCTGCTGTGCACTTTCCACTTTATTCTTTTTGTACCTTTTTTTTAACCTTTCCTTTACCCCCAATTAAGTGCAGATATATTTTTATATAGATATAGTTATATACATATACATATATGCACATATATATGTTTATATACACACTCTTTCCCTAATGAATTCTATTCCTGATCTTTGTTCCTATGTTTGTGCATATCTCTTATTTTCTATTCCTCCTGATTCCTCTACTTTACTTATACCTGCTACCTTGCCTTCCTATTACTTAGCCTACCCCCCTCCAAGAATCCCCCATATATCCTCCCATTGCCATAAATCTATACACCCTTTATAACTATTCCCTCATCTTCCCCTCTAAAGATCCCTCCCTTGTCCTCTTCCCCCTTCCCTACTTCTTTCTGTTTTAGACTTTGTGACAAGAAATAGGTTGATGAGTAGGGGGAAATGGAGTATTTGAAATAAAGCTGACATAAAACAAAATAAACAATTTTTTAAAAAAATAAACTCAAGTGATGAAAAAAGAGAGAAAGAAATGCTTCCTGGTAACTATAAAAATGTATAGACCAATGCCATGGAGAGAATACGTCACACCTTCCCCCATTCTCCACTTCTATTTCTGCTCTTGTTCTCAGCATTACCCTCAATATCCTGAACTGTAACTTCTATCTCTTCAGATATTCTCATGACTTTTTATAGACTCGCAGAATATTAGAGGTGGAAAGGTCTTTTAATATGACCTATTCTACTTTTGCATTTTAGAGTGTAGGGAACTGAGTTCTAGAAAGAAATGACTTGCCCAAGATCACAAGTACTTCTCCATGCACTAAATATTTTCTCTGCTGATTTTTCCTAGATATGGTACGAGTATTTTTTTTCTTTTGAGGGGGGAGCAATTGGGATTAAGTGTCACACAGATAGTAAATGTCTAAGGTCAGATTTGAACTCAGGTCCCCCTAACTGTAGGTCCAGTGTTCTAGGACCTAGAGTCTAAGTGCTTTATCCACTGCACCAACTGCCTCACAGAAGTATTCCTTTTAATTTTTTTTCAGTGTAATTATATTTTTTAAATTAAAAAAAAAACTCATTTCCTCTCTCTCCTATTTCCTCCCTCCCTCCTCATTGGAAAACAAAACAAAATAAAAGCTTTGTAACAAAAATGCATCATCAGTCAAATAAATCCCCACACGGACCATCACTCCCAGCCCCCTGTGTTCATCGCTTTCCTGCAAGGAAGTAGGGACAATGCTTCATCATGGTTGCTCATTGCCTTGATCAGAATTGCGAAGTTGTTCAAAGTTGTTTGTTTTTACGATGTTGTTATTATACAAATTATTCTGGTTCTACTGATGCACCCTGCATCAGTTCATGCAATTGTTTTTTCTGGTTTCCCTTGAAACCTTCCCCATCACCATTTTATACAGCACATTAGTATACAGTCACATTCATACACCATCACTTCTTCAGCCCCTCCCCAAATGATGGGAACCTGCCTACACGGCCCTATAAAAGGGTTGCTATAAAGGCAGAATCAGCCGCCATTTGTACAAGTGGGCCCTTTTCCCTCTTTCTTAGTACAAACACTTCTGTGAGTGACTTCCCCCAGGCTGGCCACTGGAGTCAATTTTGTGGAACAAATAGGTTAAGGAGGCCTGGGTTTTGAGTCAAAGGACTTGGGTTCAAATCCGAGTTGATCCATTTACTATCTCTTTCACTTTGGACAAATTATTTAGCCTCTCTTAGATTTAGTCCTCTCTAAGAAGTGAGATAAGTGGAGTGATTTATCTCTATGCTCCCTTTCATCCCTCAATCTATGGTACTAGATGCTTTATGTATGGTGGTTCTTGTGGAACCCAAAGAAAATAATATTTACTCAGTCTTTAGTCTTTCCTACATAAAGGGGCACAGCCTATGAAGATAGGTTCCCTTTGATTCCTCCAGGAGAAGTTGTCAAAGATGACAAGGCATCACAGAAAGGGCGTTGAAGTAGGAGTCATAAATCTTAGTCTCAGCTGGGTGACCTTGTCCAAGTCATTCTCCTTCTCTGTACCTCGGTTTACTCTTCTGCATAATCAAGGGATTGGACTCACAGACCTCTAAGTTGTCCTGCAGGGCTGACATTCTAGTATTCCAAGGAATTCCTGGAATTCCTCCAGTGCCCCACCCCTTCTCCCCTCTATGCCCACAGCTATGTGCCCAGAGACACCCTCCCTCCCATTGGCAAGGAAGCCTGTAATTAGCCTGCCACAACTCATGCTACTCGAACAAAAGCCCTCATTACGGAGGTACTGGCTATTAGAGGAAAACATCTCTCCTCCCTAATAGCTGGGGGGAAGAAAACAGTCTGGAGTCACAATAGAAGGCTGGCACAGAGGATGGGGAGTTGGGCAGGGCCAGGATTATGAGATGGAGGAGTTCTCCCAAGCTAGAGAGTACAGGACAAGGGATAGAACTCTAGAGAGAAATCCTACTTGGCAGGATGTGACTTAATAGGCACAGGATATCTCCACCCAAATTCCCCCCAGAGTCCCTTTGGAGGGTCTTTGTTTTCTGCCATCATCCAGAAACTCAAGAGTTCTCTTTAAAAGGCCTCAAGAAAGCACTCTGCTGTGTTGGGAGGAGCACCAAACTGAAAGACAGGAGATCTACCATTAATTAACTTCCTCTGTAATTTTGGCAAGTAGGTCAAAGAATTGAGTCAGAGATGTGGGTTCAAATCCTGGCTCCGCTCTGAACCTCTTGTGAGACCTCAGCCAAGTTATTGAAAGTGTTAGGGACTCCGTTATTTCATATGTAAAATGAGGGCAGAGTTGGACTCCATGTCTTCTAAGGTCCCCTGCAGATCTAGACTTATGATCTTATTGTGTTCTCTGTACCTCAGTTTCCTCACCTGTAAAAATGAATGGGTTGGACTAGGTGACATTAGATGTGCTTTCCAACTCTACATCTATGATCCTATCATGCTCACTATGCCTCAGTTTCCTCACGTGTGAAATGAAGGAGTTAAACTAGGTGACTTCCTTTCTAATTCTAGATATGATGATCCTAAGATTGCCTCCATGTCTTAATTTCCTGATATTTAAAAAGTTTAATAAATCTGGTTTTCTTTCCCTCAAAAGTTTTTGTGACAATCAAATGGCATCATCTGTTTTAAAGGGCTATGAAAAATACAAACTGAAAAGCGTCCCCAGAAAGGAGGAGGAGGAAAAGAAGGAAATGAGGACGAGGAGGAGGAGGAAGAGGAGGAGGAGAATGCACAATGACTTATCCTTTTACTTCTGTCTCCTGTCCTTCCTCCTCCACAGTGGCTGATCACATAGCACATACTCAGCCTGTGACATTTGCTGTCACTTCATGGTTTCCGGGTTTGCATGATTAGCCCTTTGGATACTTGTTATTTACCTCCCTAACCCTGGGACCAACAGCACAACTTACTGCAGGCAGAAGGACTGTGATGCCTGGAACTAAGGCTTCGTGAGCAGCTCACTTGCCACAGAGTCCCTGACCTGTGGGATTTTAGAGATCACTAAACTGGTTAGTGACTTCCCCAATGTCACACAGCAAGTTAGTATCAAGGCAGGGGTCCTGATGCAGTGTAAATATTCTCATTCTTTTTTTTTTTGCCAGGGGTGAGAATCCAACCTATGATTTTGTTGGAGGAAGGAACTCTTGGTAATGGAATCCCTTCTCCAATGCAGATGGGCACCTGTTCCCCAATGTGTATCTTACAGCATTGCCTGGAATATTAAAAGGTTAAACGAATTGCTCAGGGTCATTCAAAAAGTATGTGGCAGATACCCAGGTCTTCCTGATTTTAACTCTCTATCAACCATGCCAAGTCACCTCTCCTCTACTATGCTTTTTAAAAATACATTTTCAATCAACTACATAGGCACTTAGTAAGCTACTGAACGTAGCTGAATATAAAGCTGAATTTGGTTAGCAAACTATTACCTTTGGTTCAGTGTTGAAAGGAAATGAGACATTCATAGCTCATTCAATTGTTAGCAAAAGGAAGTTTACTTAGCTGGAGCACAGACAGGATGTTCAACAAGGATAGGGTAGCACTTAGCTTGTCTTGACAAGACCTCTTTGATTCTATATGGAAACAAGTCTGATCAGCAGAGAAAGGTATGGTGACTCACATGGGTCATTGGACTTGTCTGGGCGGGCCTTTATATTCCTTTAGGTGATCCAGAAGCCACATCAGTATGGCCAGTGGCAAAAAACTGAGTCAAGGGAAGCTGAGTCAAGGTAGGCACAGCTCAAGCCTTATCTTATAGGTCAATCAAGACCTGGGTCACCTTTGTTTCTTTTCACTAAAAAAACAAACAAAGTAGTCTCTCTCTCTCTTCTCTCTCTCTCTCTCTCTCTCTCTCTCTCTCTCTCTCTCTCTCTCTCTTCTCTCTCTCTCTTTCTCTCCTTCAAAGGGTGTAGAGGGATGGGGCAAAACTCAGGTAGACAATGGTCCTATCACTGAATGCAATGCTAAGAATATGAAGGCAAAAATGAAAAACAGTTCCTGCCCTCAATAAATTCATATTTTGCTTGGGGATACATTCATATAAATGGGGTTGGGGGAATATAAAACAATTTGAGGCAAAAGAAAGCATCAACAACTAGGCAATGAGGAATGACTTCCTGTTGAAAGTGGCAGAAGAACTGACCAGAATTCTGGGGAAAGTGTCACTATAGGATCAATACTAAGAGGTGATATAAATTTGGTTCTTCTAAGTTTGCAAAGCATTTCACATCCTCTATCTTCATTGATTCTTTTAACAAGCCTGGGAGGTAGGTACTACTAGTATTATAATTGTTCCCCTTTTATTTACGGAAGAAACACAGGCTTAGAGAGTTAGGTCTGTGGGATCATAGGAACATAGATTCAGAGCCTTGGAAGCCATCAAGGCTAACCCCATTACTTTACAACTGAGATGAGATGAGTTGCTCAGGGTCACATGGCTAGTGAGTGTCTAAAGTAGGATTTAAATCCCAGGCCATCCTGAACTTCAGGTCCATCTCTTTATTCATGATACTGTGCTGCCACTCTCATGTCCAGAGTTTTTCAGTTAGTAGCTATCAGGCTAGATTTTAGCCTAGATTACTCGAATCCAACTCAATGTTGTTTCCATTATACAATTCTTCCTCCTTGTATGGAGAAGTTCATAATTTCAAGTGCACTTCTTCAAGGAATGCAGAGCCCAAATTTTCTACACTTCTTGGTTCTTTATAATTAATACCCACATTTTCTTGTAACTCTATAAAATATCTGTTTAACATTCTTCTACTACTCTTTCTCTTTCTTCTTCTTCTTCTTCTTCTTCTTCTTCCTCTTCTTCTTCTTCTCCTCTCCTCCTTCTCTTCTCCTTCTCCTTCTCTTCTGTGTCTAGTACTGTGTTCTTTTTTCTTTTCTTCCTTTCTTTTTCTTCTCTCCTCCTTTTCTTTCTTCTTCTCTTTCTCCTCTTTCTTTTCTTTGAAGATCATGGTCTTCCCTTGTGTGTGGTATCAACAGGAAATCACAACTTCATAAAATATACATGAAAAGCTAAGTTTATTTCAAGAGAAATGAACATGCATGCGGAACCCTATACAAGTACAAAGAGTTCACAATCTATAAACAGAAGCTTGCTTATTTATGAGATTACAACAAAGAAGGGAGGAGAGACAACAATTCTCTCCTAAATAGGAGGGACATGGAAGGAGGAAAAGAGTGAGAAGGGAAGACAATATCCTCTCAAAGGGAAGGAGAAATTATGAATAAGTAAGATGGCAAAAGCAACATTTTTCTCTTGGGAGCTACAAGACCATGCAGATGGGATTGTCTGCTTACCTACAAGGGTCCCAACTGCACAAACAGATTCTCATTCTGGTGCAGACTGACTGACGCCTGTCTTGACTTCCAAGGACATACAGGGAGTCCAGCATGGCATACAAATAACAAATTTTGTGATATCTAGGAGGTGGGGCTTTGTCCTTGACATGTTCAGGGCCTCTTGCCTGCTCTGGGTCCACTGTTTCGAGAAAATACGGCAACTCAAAAAGGCAAATTCAGGAGACCCCTTAACAGTGGCCATACAGCTCTTGTGGGGGAATATTAAGGATCTTTTTGAGCAGAGATGGGATTTTTACAGAAGTGCCTTATACAGGATCATTTAAAAACATGCACATTTTATCAAATATAATCCAGTCAGAGCCTAACTCTTCATTAAAACAGTTAAGCAGAGCCTTTGTTAATCATAATTGTTGAATTTAAATAGAAGATACAGAATATAGATCAAGACTTCAAGAAACATAGACAGATACAAGGAGATACCTTACAACTCATTCACTGTTCCCAATCACTGTTTCATTTTACCCCATTTTCTCCAAGATTGAGTCAATCAAATACCTTAAAACTTCTTTTGCTTGGTTTGGATTTCTCAGGTCTTACTCATGGCTCAAGGATCCCAAACTATCTTCCCCATGTATCAAAACCTCTTCTTTCATCTGCTCTTCATTTTTATTATCTAATATTCCATCTAAACTTGTACTTGAGACCTTTCAAGAGAAAATTCTAATTTATCCTTCTAACATCCCTTTTTCCTTCATCTTCTCACAGTCTGCCAAAATCATTGGGCTCACTGCTAATGATCCCCATAAAAGTCTTGAGATGATCTTTTCCCAATCAGCTGTTTCTCTGGGTGCACAATTTGACTTTGCACTTCAAAAGAAATTGCCCAGTCTCCTTCTCCATCACCTTCTTTCTGACTATAACAGTGGTAGCAGCAGTTACTCCTTTCACTGGACTCCTCCCCACACCCCAAACCTAAGGCATGCCAGAAACTTTGGCAGGTCCTATCCTAACAAAAATGCTTTGAGTATAGGCTTGTCAATGGACTGTATCAGCATCACCATTGTTTGAGAATCAAGCTAGAATTGCCAAGAGGCCTGTTTCCAGAAAGTTAACTACCAGATGATCATTTTTTTTTTCTGGTCACAGCAGTCCATAAAAGTTGTTTACTAAGGTATGGGCAAGCTGTGATTATCCAGTTCCCATTTTCCTAAGAAAGTACCCACATTGACAAAATCACAGAAATTTTGAAGTATAAAATAAGTAAATGTTGTTACTTCAATGGACCTACAATCCCATCAAAGTAAGTATTCCCTTGCACAATTCAGATCAGAGCCTCTCAATCCCTTCTCCTGTGCACTTCATCTCCATTTCCATCTCTCATTTCCATCTTCATTTTAACGCATTGCCAGGAGAGTTTTTCAAAGGAGGGAGTCACTCAATGTTCTAGGGCCTTTTCTCTGACTCTCTTATCATTCTGGGGGTACCAATGCGGAACTAAGGCTGTAATCCATTTATTCTTCACTGTTGCCACTTGACAAGGACATCCAAGTCTAAGCTCTGGCAGTGTATCTGGGAACTCAAGGATTTGGGGAATGACCTCAGGGAGGTTTGAGGATATCTGAGCTTAGAGGAGCTATGGGTGGCCAACCTATGTGATTGATGGTTTAATATGGTTTGTTTGTTTTATCCCTTCTGCTTCTATGGCATAAGTAAAAAACTGGATAAAGTGAAATCCTGCTTTTATAATTCATTCCAGATAGTCCATACTTCAATCTCTGCCTCTAGCCTGGTCCTTCAGCTCCTATCTTGAGGCTACACTTTTCTTATTGATGAGAGTTGGCCACATTTAAACCAGCCCTAGATCCACCAAGTTGCACTCTGGCCATCTTTCCCATTTTCAGGTCATCTTTCCACATCTTACTCTGGGAATGGTAATCAAAACAATACTACCATTCCTGGAAAGGTAGAATCAATCAATTATCTTATGACTCCTCATCATTCCCAGACCAAAACACCCCTCCCTGGCAACCAGTCCCCAGTATGAGTTGTCTTCTTCATTAGAATGTAAGCACCCCAAGGCCAGGAATTTCTCTTGTTTTTTTTTTCTCATTTATACACCACAGTTGATATGTAGTAAGTGCTTAATAAATGCTTTTTGCATTCATTAATTCATAACATGCTAACATGTTTGAATAAAATACAACCCAAAGGGAAGAGTGTGTAGTTTTCTTGGTGGAGACCACTGAGTGAAATCTGATTGTATAAAGCTATGCAGGCCATACCTTTAGATTAATAAAATGAGCACTACCCCCACAAAAGGGGCAGGACTAAAGGATAGACGTAACCAGCTCTTTAAGGAGCTTGCTTTCCCCCCCAATGACCTCTGGTGTTGGGTGAGCACATAGCCACCATTAGCAGCATGGGATTGTCCGTGCCTGGTCCTTATTAGTGAATATGACTGTGCAAGAAGTCAGCAGTCCCTATGGATACTTAAACATCCTTCAAGAAATCTTGTATGAACTGGGGGAGACATCTTTTTAGAGGACAGCCTTTTAAGATTACATAAAAAGTATAACTCATATTTACATAGTGTTTTAAGGTCCACAAGCAGTACTGTGATGTATGTAGCACTAGCTCCATTTTACATACAGAGAACTGAGACCCAGATGGGGAAGTGGCCTGCCCAAAGTTGTGTAGTGAGTGCTTAGCATGACGAGGACCCAAGTGTGGGTCCCTGAATTCTCCCTCCAGTGAGTTTTCCATTCTACAATCCTGAATCTCACTGATTGGAGTTCAGGCTCCTGCCCAAAAGCAGAGAGTGAGACTGGACGGTTTCTCAAAGTTGCTCACATGCCCCCATTACTCAATATGTCCTTGGCAGAGTCAGATGGCTTCAGAGAAATGGAAAGAAATATTGAAAGTTGTGCTAGGAATCAACCCTCAAAGGGACAATAAACCAGGGTTATACCTTTTAATCTGAGCTATCCTTGAGTGAGATGAGGCAGAGAAGTGGCAAATCACATCCCCTAAGTCTCTAGCCTGATTTTCTTAGGAACCACGGTGACACACCATGGAGTCAGCAACTGAGACAACTTATATTCAGAAAGCCCATTGGATGCCTTGTCTTGGCAGCAAGTTGGTACAAGATGTAGAAAAGGGATTCTTAGCCTGGTTGTTGGTTTTTTTAAACATATTTTGGTAGTTGTTTTTCAATGTAATTTATTTTCTTTGTAACCCTATGGGTTTTATTTTATGCATTAAAAAGTATGATTCTGAGGAGAGGTTTATAGGCTTTACC